ACAGTCCAGAGCGCCGTATATTGTCCATCAGCCGTCTTCGAATAAACAGTATTACCCCACCACGTTTGGATGGTGTGCAGTCCGATTGTACCGTTGTCGGGATATTGGAGGCAGAAGAAAATCAAGATGATGGATACGGCCAAACCAGAGTCCATGGCAGCCGAAAGGACATCTGGTAAAAGGTCTGTTTCGGCGAAAGGTAACACAAGACCAGGGAGACCTCTTACAATTATACTTCGTCCACCAAGAGAAATATTTACGCCGGATAACGTATTGGAAAATGAATCCAACGATTGCCCATGGGACGTAGTTCAGCGCACTGGCTGGGGGAATGGCCCCCATACCGCTGAAGATAACAGGGAAGCTGCACTCGTGTGGCCTCGTGAGAAGTGTACCTTGGTAGAGAAGAGAATACACACTTAACATAGCGGATGAAGCTATTTGGCCACTTCAACGAGATCAACCATGCAACGACCGGGCAAAACGCGCCGATGAGGAAGAAATATACAAGGTCTTCATGCAGAAGCCTTAGATCCATACATACTCGACGTGCTCAAGAAGTACGCACTGTGATAAACCTGGCCTGACGAGAACTGTCTTTGTGGGCCGATGACCCCCCAGATAAAGCTAGCGGTTCCGAAGACTTCTGTGTTGGGGCAGATGAAGCCATCCTTCTGAGTAGGGTTGCAAATGTCTGGAATGTTGGTAAACATCCATGCTTGCACACCGAGCTGTACAGTGCCTGCGATGGCAGTAGCTACGACTTGACCTGTACGGCATTCAGTGAGGCGCGCGACAGGAGGAAGATGGAAACCATTAACCCCAGAACATGGTCCGCGGAGGAATCTTCATGTAGTGACCAAGCTTGAAGTCGGAAGAAAAGGTGAGCGCTACCGACATTCCAGTTAGAGATGTAGGTAAATCGACGAAGCGGGAAGGCTAACCTTGGTACATGGTGATGTATCCCCAGGTCTTGAACTGAGCAGACAAAGCTTCACTTCACTTCACGATGTCTCAAATATACCATTCTTACCATCATCATTGCAATAGGTCTGATGTAATTTATTAGTTGGATCGTCAAAGCCATGGCGACCTCGCGACTTACTTGCCAGGAAGAGCGTATCCAACGACTAGTTCAGTGACAACACTGTGGATGTCAACTTCGTCAGAAGAGTGCATTTACCATTGATAATGTTCACGCACTTCAGTCCAACTTGCTGGTTGGTGATGGCCTGAATCATCCCGATGGGAATGACGTAAAAGAATGCTGTGGAAGCCCATCAGAATTTTAATCCTTACAATATTTGACACAAGTGAATCACCGATAGTCAAGGACAGGACAAAGGCCCAAACTGGGAACTCGGTGTGCCACAGCTCAATGGAAATAACACCAATCACAAACATGAACACTGCATACTGATCAGTGGGGCGATCGGAAATTTTGGGAGATGACACACAAAAAATGATCATGTACCACCATTCTGGCACCTGTTTGTACTTGGACATAAGCCTGGCGTGAATATCAGGCTGCTCGTGCATCGAACGTCTGCTCTGGACCCATATCTGTTTCCTGAAGAACAGGAATGCATGCATGAGGGTTGCTGTGATGGAGGCGAACGACAGGGCATAGGATATAGCGAAAGTCGTTCTGGACCGGGATACATAAGGTGCGATGTAAGAAATAGATAGTAAAGATGGCGCACGAGAGGAACAGAGGGCTATATTCCTCATATGCTGTCAAGTTAAGAGAGGCATCCGAGTTGATGATACGGGAAATATTGTATGAGGCGGCAGTATTGTCGTACGATGTCCTCGAGGAAATTCTATAGTGGTAGACGGTGTTATCAAGGTGCACTGGAGACACAATGAAATAACTCATACGGCATGTACTTGCTTTCCCAGGCGTTGGTGTAGTACAGCGAAGGGACAACGAGCCCTGGATACCTTTTAGCAAAGAAAATGACACTGAAGCAAGAATGCTTACAGAAGAAGAATACGAAGCCAACTGCGATATTTGCCTCGGCCCACCCTATGCAAAGAAATAATCAGGTCCGATTTGACGGCAAATCTTTTCCGCGTACATGGTGTGGCTTTGTGGAAAGTAGTGGATCATAACTTGAGCCTTTCCTCGACAAAGAATGTTCGGTGACTCACCAAGCGGACTACCTGGGGTCAATAGTTAAAACACAATTTAAGACGACGTGTTGAAAACTTACCAATGTAAGCAATCTGAGACCAGTCGAATGTGACCATGCTCATTCCCAATCCGCTCACATACCCAAACATCTGATTTACCACGATGTTGTCGGGCGCAATCCAGCATACCCATGAGAAGTAAGACAGGCCCTGGAAGAGGTACCCAGGCACAAGGTACCATAGGAGACCGCCCAACCATGCATAAAAGAAGAAGCGTTCACGCGAAATTCCTCCACGGGTACCTATACCTGCATATGTCTGTGAATGGAGGGTGTTGAAAAGAGCACACGTCACGAGGTTGGCTGGCCATACTGTGCCAAGGTGTGAGTTAAGGATTGAAGGTGGGAAGGAAACTAAACTCGTACTCATTGAGGGAGGCTGAACGAGGAATCGCCGCAAGACACCGCCGATTGAAAAACCAATGAGCTGAGTGGACATAACCACCATCCATTGGTCTATCCCGCAAGTATGTTGTCCGAGAAGGGATCATGGACGACAGATACCCCATTCGTGAAGATACACGTGAGGGAATGATCAGCAATAAAGTCCGAAATTCGTCCAGTTAGAATGGGATGTGATATTTCGGGGGGGGTACCAAGAAAATGAAACCACAATGATTAGGGAAGTCGCACATTCTGTGAGTAAGGTTCACAATACTTGCTCAGGAACTCACAAATAAAACTGTAAGTTTGTCCATAATAGACTCGTTGGACCGCAATGATATCAGTCTGAAAGCGACACCGTGTGAGTACTTCTTGGCAAGTTCACAGCTGAGGGACATACAGCATAGGCGGCTGAACATTCTTAGTTAATCGTAAAGCGGAAGTAACACGACCGAAGTACGCACAATATCCACCAACGGAGGCCATGATAGTAACCAAGACATGTTCTTTAATTGAAAATGGTCCAGGGTTCAACTTGATACCAAAGACGCGGACATTCGGCACGACCTATTCAGCCCGGATGGGGTTCATCGTCAACGATTGCAAAAACATCTCGAACTTAACTGGCTTACCTTTGCCCAGAGGCGACCCACAGGGAAAGAAAGCAATTGTGCCGCGATACCCGAGATGGACACGGATGGGTAGCGAAAGAAAAAGAATTGATTCAGGCCGGCAATCAAAATGGCCCATGCGAGACCTGCCGGTCAAGCCTATCAGCATCGAGCACCTCTGTCAACAGAGAAGCGTACCAATGACCCAAGCGCGGAACGAGTTGCAAGGGATAGACGGATCATCTGTGTTAGCTACAGCACTGCGGACCTCTGGATATGGCGAATCATCCTCTACAGAAATCGTGAGGTTGTGTACTATGATTAAAATTTACAAGCGAGGTTTACCAAGGACTCCGATGACAGCCTCGTCACGATCGATGTTCGGATCGTCGAAGTCAGCGATGGTCTCGAGTACCTCTGTTATCAAATAAAATAAGCATTGGAAGAAGAGCTGCTGTACCAACCCACCTTGAACCTTAATGCCATCCTTCTCGGAATTGGTTGAGCTGTACCGCTCCTCTTGAAAGCCGACGGCCATGACCACAGCTGATATCAGTAGAGAGAGAGAGATCAGAAATGAAACCGCCAATCTTTAAGACTCACGCCTGCAACCCTCTTAAATCCCTTCGGAAGAAGATTCGCATGGATGTTGGATGATAAGCGGCTGGGATATAGCAGGTGTCTCTTGGGCATGCTCGGAAGATTCTGATCGTCAATCTCAGGCCGACCTGCCAGATGTGAGCACCATCTGGAAAGGGGCTTGTACACCTGTTTACTCGGCTAGACATGGTATATTCAACCCGAAATAGTAGGCATATCTCTTATCGCGGTTAAACAAAGCGAAGAAGCACGCTGAAGAGAACTTGTATATATAGCGTGCCTGTTAATTGATGAGTAAATCCAGTGTAGAAGATATAGAGGTTACGGTGATGAAAATCGATTACCGAGCCCACGATGGTCACGCAAAGAAGGACGTACCATGTTGATCAGATGAGAACCTTGGTATATTCTTCGCAAGCATCGAATTCGAAAGGCTTGAATCCCCCTTCGGCCAGTCAAACGGTCTTGCAGAAAATATCTATAAAGTTGACTGATCTTCTCTATTTAGGACCGAAAGAAGGAGCGGAATGGCACGCAAGGAGATCTTGGTCACTTTCGGAGAAGCTGAAGGTGCTTAATAGCCAGCTGGATCCACAAGAACAAGTTACGTGCAAGAACTGTAATATAGATCCAGCTTGCCTGGATGGTGCCGGTGAACGCTTGAACGCTTGAGCTGTAGCATTCAAGTTGAATATCCAATCGCGCGTCCGCGTCCGCTAAGCACGACAACGAGTCACCCGTTGTCATTTTGAATGACCCAGGCCATTTACGATATCGATATATTCTAGACCTTCAGCGATACCGCGTTGCTGAGCGCTGAGTCCTGACCTAATACTCGTACTTTGGTCAGACCGACCAGACCAACCAGAGGCCTAATCCTAAAATTAGCCACAGTGTAAATACAACCACACGACCTAGGTTTTCCGACTTGATAAAAGCTCGGAGAAATAGTACCACGTGGTTGCATTTGGTCACATCTTGGCATTGTGGTGAGTGTGCATATGGCCTACCCCTGCACGGCCGCCCGAGGTCTGCATTACCCATCGATGCTAGCATCTTTATCGAACCGAGACTACCCTCCAACATCGATACCTTCGCCGGATAATTGATACAACTTGAAAAGTACTGATATGATACAGATCTGCCACGATAGTCAGTAGTAATACACCTCCTGAATTCCGCGAGCGCATAGAGCAAACATACAACACGCCTATCTACTTGACCCAGCATTCCGGAGAGCAGCGGGTGCAGTCGGCGGGATGCGTGGAGGGGTTGGATTTGAGATGGACTTCTTAGCATCGTGGAGGGCTGCAAGTCTGTCAGGAATGGTTGTTGGGCGTGGCGGCGGCGGCAGAGAAGTGGGAGCGCCAAGCATAGAAGGATTGACAAAGTGAATTGGATTGTGGGAGCCTACAATGGGAGACAGTACTGGCAGGGTCTCAGTTCGTTTTCGCTGTGTGCTTGGTGGCACTGCCACATCTTCCTCCTCCAGCTTTCGCTTCGTCCCAGAAGTGTTTTGCACCTGAGGGCCAATCCCTTTGACAAAGTCGAGCAATGTCTTGGCGACACGAGCATTCATTCGAATATCTACGTGTTCTTCGCGCACCACCTCCCGCATGCGTGCGAGCTTATCTGCGAGCGCACGCAGTTGCAGCTTATCTTTCTCCACGGAGATTAAGAGACATATGGTGATAAACTCCACGGGCGAGATGCGCCAGCCAGATTGTAGGAATATAGAGCAGAGTTCAGGGTCGCTGACTAGCTGCGAGAAAACGCGGAACGTGTCGTGGATGCATGAAAGGTAGATTTCATCCTTTGTGAGGTCTTCATCGTCGTCACTTTCTTTCTTTTTGCTTTTGGTCCGTCGGACGGGGTTGTGCAACCATTTCTCTATCTGCAGGACGGTACCCACGGACTGGAGGGAAGGGTACTTCGAGATGCAGTAAAGCGCCTGAGCGATACACCGGAAATCTCCACCGCGCGAACGGTCCCAATCTAGGGCGTCGCCACCCAGAGGCTTGTCTTGTCCGAAATACTCTACCTCTAACTGTCGCACGAAGCTACTCATAGGGGTGTTAATCACCTGCAATTTCTCTAAGAAGAGAATGAGCCAAATGCAAGTGTAAGTCAAGTAGGCACAGACCCGCAGGGGTGAGGGCCATTCCAAGTTGTACTCTCTGTAGTTGGATGAGCGGCGTAGTTATAGAATGTGCTTAGGACCCACCTGGAAGATTTCGCGCTCTTCGAAATCAGGAAGGTCTTGATATTCTATGCATACAATCTGCTTATTTGCAAACAGCCGTCGATATTTATCAGGCAGAATGTAGCCCGCGGACCGTCCACTCTGGTTGGAAGCATTCGACTTGTACCAGTACTTGTCACCAGTTTGTCTGTACCGCGTAATATTAATAGAAACTAGGGAATCGACATTGAATGGTTTTGTGACACTTACGAGTCTTTGTCTACCGAGTGTCTATTGCGATTAGAAGTAAAAACAAAAGAAGAATCACTAACGATAAATCTAAAGAATTCTGTAAGCTGGATCGCACATGACAGACATATATGACCAACCAGTCCATCCATAAACCTGCGGCAGAAGAGAGAAAATGACGGTCAGCGATCTGGCAAGATGAATAGTCGAGAAAATGCACCGTTGTATTGATGTGAGCCGTTGCTTCCCGTCGACACACGTCTTGGTTTCTGAGCCATCTGAGTGCTGATGCGAAACTGGAGGATGAATGGACGGAGAAGATGAGCCATGCGCTACGTAGCCTGGTATCATGCTCACCGAAGATCACAGGTGGAATATAAAAGTTGCGAAGTATAGAGTCAATAAGGCCCACTTGCTTCGGCTCTGGCCAGACAACATCTGAGAGAACATGGCTCTAGTCATTTGGGCTTGGACTGTAAGAAAGACTTTACAGACCTCTTTGATACTCGGGCTCCAGGTTAATGTCGCTGCCAATGATCTGCTCTGTAATGGAGTTGATGGAAATCTATACACAGAACGTAACAGACAAGAGACCTACCGTAGAGCGCCTGTGTCGTGTAGGTTGTGGTACGGGGAAGCTTGAGGACGTTCCTAAGTATGTAGCCGTCATCTTTCTCCGAGCGCTTGCCACCAGGCTCGAGTTCATCATAATATTCGTCGCCTGCTTCGGATTCGCTTGCATTCATGATGAGTAGTGCCTGCTCTCGAAAGTTACCGTCAAGTTAAAGGTTGAAGGTGAAGCCTAGTAGTTCGGCTTGTTGTAAATGTTGACTCGCGAGTTCGCAGGAAATTAAAACCAAACTTCGACATGCTGTGCAAACAAAGAGTTCGATCACTTTAAATTCTGTTTACGGTGATTTACGCAATTTATCAATAGCGACGCCGACGATGTTTCATGGCAGTTCAACGTTCTCAAAGCCTACCACGAAGGGCTCACTGCTGTCCTCACGTTCAGCTACCACTAAACGTGACTCCCTAATGGCAGAGCTTGAACGGGGTGAGTTCACTAGCCGGAAACACGCCTTCGGGATGCTCATGTCTAGAGAAACCTGACCCCAAGCAAATTGCAGATCCACAGCATTCAACTGCAAAGCGCCAGCAGCGCTCTAATGCGTTTACCTCCCACATGGCAAACGCCTCTCTCGAACGCCAGCTACTCGCCGCACAGGCCAGTAAAACCGAGCTCGAGGCCAAACTCCGTGAAAAAGATACCACGGTCGAGAGGCTGGAAAGAGATAGAAGGTGGTTTGCGGAGAGAGAGGAGAAGGAGCGCGAAGAAAAACTGCAGGAGCAGTCGGAGAGAGAGGAGGAACAGGTGCGTCACGCCAGCATGCATGCCGTCAGAGCTCACAATCATTCTATAGCGCAAGGCAGATTTAGAACTTCGACAACTACGCAGTTCCCTCGCTGCCGTTCGAGAGAACCTTGCGGAACTCGAGGACAAACACTCAAACCTTTCTCGCAGCCACTCACAATCAGTTGCTTCTCACAAGTCGCAGTCTTCAGTTCTTGCTCGCCAAAACGCAGAGTTGGAGAAAGAAGTTGGAGACCTTAAAGCTATCGCGGAGGAACGAGGCGATGCAATACAGAATTTACAACAACAGTTGGACGATGCTCATGCTACCACCAACTCTTCTGCGAGAAGTTCCAATGAAAACGAGAATTGGAGTGTTGTGCGAGACGAATTACAGCGGCAAGCAGGATACCTCCGTTCTCTTGAGTCGAATAACGCAAAACTCACCACTGAACTTGCACGGTACAAAGACCGGCACGCCAGTTTAGAAGTCCTTCGAGAAGAGAAACGTACTTTAGAAAGCAAGGTGGCTATCATGGAAGGGCTTCGAGAGAAAGTCGCCAAACTAGAGGCTCAAGTCGAAGCTGCTCGGCAAGAACGGAAAGACTGGCAAGTACCGACCCAATCTTCTCACTTGAAGCTAATCTATATATTCTAGGGCAAGCAAAACCAGCGAATCCAATACATCGTCACAAACTTCCATCTCCTTGGTGCAAAATCTGTCGGCATTACGTCTGGAGAATGCACGAATGATGGAGGAACATGGTGCAAACATGGCACTCCTTCGCCGCCGCGAGGCCGAGCTGTCTAACGTTGATAAGATAGCGTCCGAAGCTCGGGAGGCTGTGGATGCCCTACAAGCAGAGGTGCAAACACTGAAAGAAAAGGTGGTAAGACGGGAACAACGAGCTCAGCTGGCAGAACGAGAAGCCAGGTTCCTCCAAGCCCTCGTCGTACGTGTTTACGCCCCCAAACAGTATCTTAATGATTTATCACCTATTTCAGGCCAGCTTCACTTCAGAGGAGTCAGCTGCACGCGAGTCACCAGCTGTGGACGGCCTTTCTCAGCAGCGGATCCAGCATCTTGAGCAGTCTATAGCTGACTACAAATCCGAAAATTCTCGGTTACAGCGTACACTGGATGCTGTCGAGGCTGATAATGCCATAGGAGGGCCGAAACGCACACGCAAGGATCTCGTTCAGGAAATCGACGCACAGAAAGCCGCAGCGGACGAAGCAACGAAAGGTATATTCAACAGAAGCATATGTATCTCATTCCCTCAATGCCATACATACAGGTCTGCAAGAAGCGCAAAAAGATCTGACACGGCAGAAAGACAATATCGAAATACTCGAACAAACACTGTTTGAGCTTCGTGGCGAAATCGGCGCGGGGAACCACGTCCCACCAGGCATGCGTGTGCTGTGTCTGCGCGACAATCCAGCTCAGCAGTGGACTGATCTACGACAGTCAGTGATGGACCGTCTGAAGAGCGAAAACGAAGCGCTCATCAAGCGCTTGCGTGAGCTTGAGAGCAGCGGAGCGGTGGTAGACGAGGGCAGGGTTCCGCGCAATGATTTGGTTCCCAGGGAAAGTTGGGACGTGCTCGATAAGGAAAAGAAGGACCTCGAGGAAGTGGTAAAGCAGAAAGAGAAGAGACTCTTGCGCTTACAGCAGGTGCGTGTATCCTCTCCACGCTTCTTTTCACCAATTGATGGCCGACTGTCACCATGGTTCGGTAGGTGTTTACCGCGAAGAGTGCCGAGTTCCGAGAAGCCATAGCGTCCATACTAGGACTGAAGCTCGCGTTTTACCCCAATGGGCAAGTCCGCGTGACGTCGATCTACGATCTTTCTGCGTCATTTGTGTTCCAGCCTTTGACGAAGCCCGGCGAGAATGGAGAAGGAGCGAGAATGCAACTCATTGCGCAAGGCGAAGGCGGTCCGCAAGATCTCCCGCAACTGATGCGATTCTGGGTGAATGAGGAGCAATGTATACCCGGGTTTCTGGCGAGTGTGACTTTGGAGTGCTATGACAAGTCGAAGAGAGAGGCCGGTACCGAGTCGTAGTACTTGACCATCATGCATTTTTGATAGCAATTATGTCCTGCTAGGTTGATGAACAATGCTCACTGGCTGACTACGTTACTGGGAATTTCACTTGGAGGCCAGTGTATCATGGTGACTCTGTCTAACATTCTGTTCTGGAGTCCCTGCCTCTTATGCCACAAAAACAATACAATAAAAGTAATAATGTACTTGTATCATCAGCAGCAGACAACTACCACCATCTAGTTTCCATCATCCGTATTTTTTTTCTACCGACAAACGGAAAATTGCATCTGCGATATCGTTTCCGCTCTATTCATCTATTGAAACACGTGCTGCTCAGGCTGATTTCTCACTTGCAGAGTTTTCTGACCTCTTGCAAACACCCATCATTGAGGCCTTCTGAGCAGCTGGATCTAGGACATATTATCAATCATAAGTACATCATGGGCAGCAATATCCTCACCACATTAAATAACTTAATTCGCGCCAATAGACCAAGGTCGAGTCTTTGAGACGCTTTATGAATTGTCCCCCGGATGATGTCCAGGTCCAGCCTGAGGATGCAGGAGAATCTTAGACTGTTCGAGAACAAATTCCGAGTCGTTACTTGTTTCTGCATCAGGATGTTCCAGACACGCCTGCGCCGTGCTTATAATCAAGGTACACGGATGGGAGCCTAGCTGCGCAACCCTATCTTAAGATCTGCCAGTTCTGTATAATCAGTCTATAGGGTGTACGCGAACTCTTGCACCTAAGAAGCAAGTTCTGCTTCGTTCCAAGCCAAGGGTACTGATAGTTTTCTTGATGGCTCCTCTGTCAGCCTCCTCTTTCCCTGATTATGCAGATCGGCCATACCATCACTCTCCTGGGCATTGCATGACTGGCTGATTTGAACCGGCAATTCTTCTCTTACCTTCAGACTTCTGCTGCAAATGGTTTGAAGTGATTTGTTGTAGGATGAATACAATGTATCTGGACTGTGATGACACTCTACATGCGAAGGTGGAGATGACACTAAGATAGCGTGAAGCAGTCTGCATGTCGTCCAACATGTTTGTTTTTACCCATATCATATCCACCTTCACGAGAATCTCTACAAAATCTGGTTGGAAGCATTACACAGTGAAAAATACATATGATACTCACCTTCTTCACACCAGCACCAGCGCCCGCAGCTTCAATTCAAAAGATATAAGCAATCCATCTACGATTTTTGTGCGTCATTTGTGCTTCGACATTTGACGAAGTTGATGAGAACAGAGAAGGAGCGAGCGAATTGCGCAAGACCGCAGTGTCACGTATAAGTACAGTTTTTGGCGAGGTCGGTCAAATACCGTCGGTACCGAATCATGGTACTCGGCTGCCGTGATCAGCCCCAGGAAGACAGCCGTTCCTTCTATATGATGTAGGTCGCGAGGAGGATCCAATTGGGAATGGTATAGTCTTGACGAACTTAGTTTTTTTTTTTTGGAATTTTTAATTTTGACATCGCCTGACCCAGTGACCCTGGCTTGCACTGAGCTCCGTTTCCAACAGACCTCCTCTTCAACACCTGCTAGTGTGGTCTCTAAACTCTGAAAAGTTTCTGATATGCATGATCTACTATAGTAACTATACTGAGTATGTGTTCAGAAATTGTCACAGTATCCTAATAGCTTTTTCATGCTGACGCATGACAGACCCTGATTTTGTGCTGGCGTACAATATATACCGAGGCATGTTGCTGAATGAAGACCACACAGCGAATCATATGAGAATTCCTGCTGCCCCCGCTTTCATCCCCTCATCAAAACCTCGCGTCCGGATATGCCATCAGTGTGGTTTCGTTTTACCACAAGATTTTCCATGGATAGTCTGTGATGACTGCCAGTTACTACCGCGGCTAAGGACCCAAAGTATTCATTCCCCTGCACACACTCTCCCTGCAAATAAAGACGCAACGACGCTCGGACAAGCTGTGAGTTTTTGTGTTTTTGCAACATATGCCCAGGAAGTGCTTGCAGGGTTATTGTATTAGGTTGAATATTTGGCGTCATGCTGACTACGTTACTAGGGACAGTTCTTTGCGACATGTGTTTTGTGCCAAATGGCCGTAGAAGGATCAAGAATCACATCGAGCTCTGACACACTCTGCCCTGCATGTCGAATGAGGCAAGAAGGCATGAAACTGAAGCCTACAAGGCGCATCAATCGGCACGTACCACCATTACTCCCACCCACATCACCCGTCATCGCACCACCCCGCGATCCTCCCCGCCCGTGTTTCTTTAACTCCCGCGGAGAAATTGTTGCTCATTCCTCTTTCCCTGTGGGTATCCATAAATTCTTCTCCTACATGAATCTTACCCGTGATTAACGCCAGGTTGTCGTGGCGCCCATGCGTGTGTGTATGCGCTTCGGCTGTGGAGCACAATTAGCACCCAACCAGCTTTTCAACTTTTGCGATGTGTGTCTGCGATTGGGGTTTGGCCGTGGAGCGCCTGCACCGCCCCCTGCCCCCAAGCGCCTTCCGAAGCGCATGAGAAGAGATGAACTTCCCTCTGGGGTGCTTATCTCAAAGGTCAAGGTAAAGTGGTTTTTCATATTCCTCTGTTTAGAATGCAGTTGAACCATGACGATTTGAAGCGTGATATATATGCTGCACAGAGGACTGAGGCCCTTGGACAGACCCCGCAAGAAACGTGTGCGGAACTTGGTCCACACAACAATGATGATTTGGACCTCGAGTTGATGTATCCTGAGGTTAGTGAGATGTGAGTTTTTTTTTGCTGATATCACTGGGTCTGAGCCGCCAAGTAGGATGAAGAGCTTGCAGCACAAGATTCCGTCAACTCGATAGCGACAACTGTTGGTAACGATGTTCCACCTCCAGGTGTTGTCTCGGAACGTGGGCCTTCGCGGCTTTCACCCCTAGTCATCAATACTACTACTCGTTCTCTAAGCCCTCAGCTAGTCCAGGTCAGTGATGCGCGATCACTGTCTAATATGTGTTAGGCTAAGGATTTTTATAGCGCATCTGTGAAACACCCGGGTGCGGTGGGACCGTGCCTCCGTCAGCTACATGGCAGAGGTGCTATAACTGCAGCTTCCAGCGCTGGAAAGAGCGCCAGCAGGCTGCTATCACTACAAGTGCAACTGCAGAGTCTATTTTACCGGTGGACAGTACACATGTGGGTCCCTCGAATTCCGATGAGGCCATGCATGGCGTTGAGCCTCCGTCGCACGATACACTAGAAGCAGTCGTGGTAGACCGAGTTGCGATCAACAGAGATCTGGGAATAGTACTGGCTTCACACTCACAGGGAGCAGTCCTTGATGCAGTAGACAAACTACCGTTGTCGGAGCTTCCTGATGGACAATCCGTCATTGATGCCACGGCAGTCGCGAGTACTTCCAGTACACTCGTTGCTGAGTGTGGTAGAGACGCTGGCGCCGAACCTGAAATTAACAAGGTTTACATCTTCGGATCGGACAGCGACCTGACGGATCTCTCCTCGGAAGACGAAGATGTCGATTCGGACCCTGAGGCCGAAGACTCATCCACAATCAAGATTCACATTCCTGTGCTTGCTTCTCGACTTCCTGGCGGCGCCAGTGCGCGAGTGTGCGGGATCAAGCGTTGTAACATCGTATTGCCTCAGGAATACCGCTGGAAGATCTGTGATCCCTGCCGGAGATACAAACGGCAGTACCAGAGGATTCGTATGGAGAAAGCCCGCCGTCATATGGCGAACTTTTGTGAGTATAATTGTCACATCTAAGATCGCCCAAGCTAACCATATGTAATTTTAGCTGAGTCTGCTCTCGTTAGTGATCATTCTGTACCGTTTCCGGAGGTAGGGCACATTAAAGATTTCTGTTTAACCTTGCATCACTGACGACAGATGCAGGAACAAAGCGACAAGGTGACGCCAGCGGAAAGCTCGCGCATCTGTGCTATTCCTCGCTGCCGCACAAGGTTACTGCCTGTGACCAAATACCGGTGGAAATGCTGTGGAGTTTGCCGCATGCGTGCTCGTGACGACGCAAGAGCAAAACGATCGACCGCTGGAACCCTGGACTTAGAACCGGTGGAACAGAGTTCATCATTGAACATTTCACCCTTTCCTACCTTTCAAAACCGCAGCGTGTTGTTGTCAGAATTTGGCGTGATGCTGGGGCGATTCTTGGAAGCACAAATCTTGTACTTGCGCGCCAAGCTTCAGACAGCAGGCGAGAAAGCATTGTTGAGGCTTGATCCCGTGCTGTTTGCGTTCGACGGTGAATACTCGACGGTGACTGGCCAGCGGGGATATCAGGATAACGTCCAAGGCAAATCCGACCCTGAGCACAGTCAGGAGGATGAGATGCAAAAGGAAGTTGTCTCCACTGTTAGGGAGCTCGACAGCACCCTCCTTACCGAATTCAAGTAAGTGTTTTAAGCTGTGCGAGCTGCGGTTAGACAGCTTATATCGCTTACCCTGTAGGCCAACGGAAGGTTTCATAATCAAGTCCGGAGGGGTGATCATGCGATACAAATGTGCCTTAGAGCTGATTACCCCACTCCGTCCTTTACCTAAGACAATGGACTCGAAGGATACCAACACTTCTACCCCCTCAGAAAGTGACACTTCGTCATCACATGTCCCTTACATGAAGTCGCTGTCTGGGGAGTTGGAGGTAACGGTTGTTCCCGACGACTCGCACAGTATTTTACTGGGTCGACGAACTATTATCCGATTCCAGATGCTAGGATAGCTAGATAGCTTTCGTTTGGAGTCCTTTTATAATACTCGCCTTACAACATTATGTTGCTTATTATTGAGATATAGATACTATCCTATCATCGATTCATCGACATACTTATCATTGTCGACTTGTTCTAGCATGCATCGTAAAGAAATCGAGACTTGCCTTTGAAGAATCCGAGGTCGAGGAACCCTTCCACAAGAATCTGGTGGCGGAGCAGCTGGATGGTTTCCCGGTAGACACCAGGTCTGAGATTTTTCATTGATTTCTATGCAAGTTTTACGAGCAGATCCGGTTAACATCTCAGCTGCCCATGATATTGTGTGTTGGCACAATCATTTCATGGACGCCGATGGTGAAGCGGTTATCATGCTTGCCTTCCAAGCAAGCGGCAGGGGTTCGACTCCCCTTCGGCGTAATTTTTCATGCCCATTTAAAACATTCTGCGTGAGCGTACTTAAGTACCTGGCCATGGTATGCTAAAATTTGTCCTGCTATTTTATTAGACTCGGAGGTTGCAACGTTGGACTTGTGGCCGCCTCTTCAAATCCATCCTCGACTGCTTGTCAATTTCGCTTGCATCAACCAAAGAAAATCATTAGCGAGTCTGTACAGGGGTAGTATGATGCGGTCAGGAAGAAAACTGTTTATATGAGGTCATCCGATCACCTGGAATCACGGCGCATTAAAGCGTTCCAGATTAATATTGTGCCAGCATAATGCCTGAGCCAAAGTACTATGGGCGTCGACACGAACTGAGTTTTGCTTCTGCGGGATCAAACGGTTGAGTGAACAACAGTCGGACGAACGGGCCGGGCGAGCGAGGATAAGGGCTTGACAGACGCTTGCAGGCATCCGTCAGAATGCGGACAGGACTGGAAAATTGCTGGATAATATGGATACGAGCTCAATGCATTTCTGGATGGGTGTGCACTGAGAGCTCTGTTTATACTGGAAGTTACGAACGACTCCTCGTGATGATGCAATGACCCCGAAATGCCGATTGAGTTTTTCTAATAGGAGAGGATTTCGTCAAGGAAGGGCCTTCATCACGGCAAGGGGTCAAATTTAAGGTGCAAGTTGAGTACGATCACGTGATTAGTCTAATATCATGAACGCGTGCTCGCCAGAGTCTCTTGACTCTGAGTAGTGAGTATGGCAAGTGGTCATCGCTCTCCTTCTCTAGAACCACCTGGCCCTCAACCGATAAGAAGACTCCATGAGTCCCTCATCAACCGAATTGCAGCAGGCGAAGTACGCGCTGGGCTGACACCACAGTACAGGCGCGAATAAGTACTGATCAAATTCACCTCTAGATCATACACAGACCCGCTTCTGCGTTAAAAGAGCTGCTGGAAAACAGCCTCGACGCCGGGTCTACTTCTATTCAAGTCACCGTCAAGGATGGCGGTATGAAGCTGCTTCAGATTCAGGACAACGGCTGTGGCATTCGTGTATGTCTTCCTCACATTCCCATCGAGGCTTGCCATTGAGCTTGTTTAAAGAAAGAAGACCTACCCTTGCTCGCTGAGCGCTTTACTACCTCCAAATTGACCACCTTTTCCGACCTCTCCAAGCTGACTACCTACGGGTTCCGAGGGGAGGCTCTGGCATCTATATCACATGTCGCGCACCTGACAGTGATCACGAAGACCAAGTCAAGCAACTGTGCTTGGAAGTATGTATATAAAAATTGTGCACGGAACGAACGCGCCTGACAAGAATTCTACAGGGCTGCTTACGTTGATGGCGGTCTCGTCCCGTCGAAAGCGGGATACACGCCAGATCCGAAACCTTGCGCTGGAAACAACGGAACCACCATCACGGTATGTCCCTAAGTCAAACAGTTCTCTCCCTTCACTCAATTCACCACAGATTGAAGACATGTTTTATAATACACCCACTCGATTGTCTGCTCTCCGAAGCTCCTCTGAAGAATACGCCCGAATACTCGATGTAATGACCAAGTATGCTGTGCACAATTCCAAGGTGTCATTTAGCTGTAAAAAGGTATGTTGGTTCGAATATCGTCAATGATGCCCTATAACGCATCGTGCAGGCTGGTTCCCTGAGTCCTGAACTCTCGACCCCGTCCTGTTCAGATGCATCTCAGGCTATTCGTCAGCTATACGGTCATTCCATAGCCAAAGAGCTTCTGCATATCACGGCGTCTTCTGTTTCAGATGATAACACGGACATGGATGATCCGGAAGATCCGGAGGCATGGTCGGCAGACGCATATTTCACGAATGCAAACTACCAGGGCAAAAAGATCGCTCTCCTGTTATTCATAAATCGTCTGTTTCCCCCTTTCCCGCATTGCTATCTTGCAAAATCTGAGGCGTATTTCATGCAGACCGTCTAGTGGAGTCACATCGTATAAAACGGTCTATTGAGAGCACATACAGCGGTATACTGCCAAAAGGTTCTTCTCCTTTCGTGTATCTGAGGTAAGACCGAATTTTGCTAGTGGGATATGAAAATAATCATTCACCCAGCATCAATCTCGACCCGAGGTCTGTGGATGTCAACGTGCATCCGACCAAGCGCGAAGTCCACTTTTTGAACGAAGAAGCCATCATCGAGCGAATATCGGATGCCATTCAGCAGAGGCTCGCGGGTCAAAGTCAGTCGCGGGTTTTCGAGTACCAAGTACATGGATGCATATATACACGTTCTACGTCCGTGCTCTAAACACATTTATTGACAGACGCTGCTCACTGGAGGGATTGCGCAATCAGCCTCACGGAAGGGCAAGGAAAAAGCGAGTAATGTCGATGAATTGGAAGGAGATGATGAGGGACCTGAGGCTGATCGTCGGGTATCAGGAAGTCAAGGTGAGTGTTTGCACAAATTTCCAGTAAAACGCCATTTGGATCTTGTCCAGTAGCGAAGAAGGTGCTTTCTCAGCACAAAGTCCGGACCTCCTTACAGGACCGCACACTGGACTCGATGATTCCTGTCGCCGACCCATTGAGAACCAATTCCGACGAGCCCGTGACAGCCATCCGGTTACGGGATATTAAACAATCGACGTGTCATTTTGCATCCATAACAGAACTCAGGCGTCTCGCTACCAAACGCATACACCACGGTGGGCTATGCATATTTTTTGCAACAAAAACGGTCTTACACGCATAAAACGTAGACCTGACTGAAATCATCAAGAAGCATACCTTTGTCGGCATGATTGACCTGTCCAGGTGTCTAACGTTGATTCAACATAACAAGAACCTTTACATGGTCAATCATGCTGCACTAGCGTGCGTTACTGAGCTCTTTCGAAGGCTTGTGTTGATATGGTTGCCGCAGGGAGGAAATGTTCTATCAGCTTGCGTTGTTGCAATTCGGAGACTACAACCGACTCAAACTCGATCCTCCTCCATCTCTTCGAACGCTCGTCAAGTTCGCAGTTGATGTGGAAGAAGACACAGCACGCAGTGGCATGAGCAACGATGAGATCGTCGACGTATGATCGAATTTCAGTACTTTGGCAGATTCACTCAGCGTTCTTTCACAGCGAATAGTCAAGACCTTGATGGATCGCCGAGAGATGCTGCACGAGTATTTTTCCTTGGATATTTCAGAGACCGGCGATGTTAAGACACTTCCGCACCTTCTTCGCGAGTACACACCCAATCTCGATAAGCTACCCATGTTCCTGATGCGTCTTGGACCTCAGGTACGTTCCAACGTTATATTCTCATTCCACAGATACCAAGTCGTTTCAGGTCCTCTGGGAATCCGAGCAAGAGTGCTTTGGCTCTTTCATGCGCGAGTTAGCGTACTTCTACTCCCCAGCCCCGCTGTCCGTCGTCTCAGCGGCCGCCTCTGATGAAGATGAACAAGAAAAGCAGAAATCTGAAGCATGGCGCATTCAAAATATCCTATTTCATGCGATGCGCAAGTATCTGGCAGCTCCCAAGTTTCTGCTGGACAATGACGTCGTGCAGGTGGCGAGCTTACCAGATCTTTATCGGGTCTTCGAACGCTGTTAGACCTCATATCATACTGCAATTTCTATCCGCGAATGCTGGTGCATGACTCTAGAGCTGCCATAATGTATGTAAACTACAGCGATTCCATAATTCTATGATGCGTCTATAACAACGGAAATTCGATGGCTTTTGACACGGCACATGTGGTTGACCAATGAACAAAAGGATCTGTTCTGAAATTGAGGACTGTGCGAGAGAGTGAAACCTTGGCAACCTTTGAGAATAGTCGCAAAGGGGTCTGTTTGCATTTCACTGTCCAACAGGAGCAGTAAAACAAACCGTGATTGGTAGAATACAGTGGTTCTTGAGCAGTTGGACTTCGACGAATCAACTTAATGTAGAGCCGTTATTCGTACTCGCGGTAGTCGCCAGCTAGTGTTTATAATTTTATCGTTGAATTCGTCGCAAAATAGGTTTTGTGGAGAGAAGAAAGCACGTTTGAGGCACGCCCGAGCCCATTAGCCAGCATGTGCGGAAAGCAATGTCTGTTTCACAGCCATAGGCAACGCACGATTGGCCGTCACCAAGAGGTTCTATTGGTTCCTGTGAAAATAGCATGGGCAAGGTGAGACAACAGTGGGTAACAGGAGGACAGTGAATATCATTTGCATATAGAGGTGAAGTGTGAGTAGGAGTGCCATCATCGGACACTGCAGAACCAATCATGGGATTCACGGCGCGAGCATGCGTTAAATCGCTCCAAATGCTACCGTTAAGTCACCATCAGGTAAAACGATGTAGCCGTTTTATTTCCAGCAGTTTTTTTATCCATGTATGGCTGATAGCAAAATGGAAGAGCAACTTGGAGGTTGGCAAAAGGAGGGAGGGCACGCAAATAAATTGCAAATGAGCAGCACGGTAGACACAATTGACACCGAGCCGGCAATATTCACACCAACGTTATATATCGTCCTCGGGACCGTCCTCGATCATCTTTGCATAGTCTTCGTAACTTGCAAATGTCGGCAAACTTCTCAGCTTCTTCCGTTTTTCACGTTTGGACTCGTTCTCCTGTTTCCGCTTCTTTGCACTACCGAAGCCATTCCATTGTTCTTCGCCGTGGTCGCCGTCTTCGTCAGCGATTCCGTCACACTCGATGAGACCTTGAGAAACTTCATCCAAGCCGAGGAGATCTTCATTGTCCGAGGCCTCAACCATGGAGAAATCATCGCCAGAACCACCATCTTCGTCTTCTTCATCTTCAACCTCCTCATCCTCCCCATCGGAATCATCAAGATCAGAAGCGACGCTGTCGCTATCCGCCATGAGGTCTTCATCTCCTGCCACATGAGGCATGGTGGCTCGCATAGCCTGTTTACAAGATAAGTTGAGCTACGGATGCAAAGATAGCAAGGGGAACCTAGTACCTTCCATATATCTGCTTCTTCGGCGTCACTGTCTTCGTCGTCATCGCGTTCAGCATCATCTACGTCTTTGTCCTGCGCTTCCTCCAACTCACTCGCTGAAGCATCCACGTCAGAAGCATCATCCGATTCCTCTGCATCACTATCCCCTTCGCCGGTATGGGCGGTTTTTTTCTTGTCCTTTTCACGTTTCCTCAAAAAGTGTTTATGGAAGAAGACCTTAAGTGACTTTAGCACGGTCTCGGTCACCAAACAAGCAGGTCGTTACCTCGTCAACAGGGATATCCTGTAACGGCCTACTCAAAAATTTCTCGTCGTTCGGTAGAGCACCGCCAGATGATTCGCCTTTCAATAGCTTCACCCCGATCTTGTCGTTTGCGCTGGCTGCAGGCTGCATGGCGCTGGAGCCTTTTGTCTTGATTTTTTTGGGATTTTTGTAGACGAAACGATCGAGGAAATGAGAAAGGGTATTTAAAGACAGATCTGGGTTTGACGTGATAGGTTGGCCAGAGAGGAGTTGTTGTGCATGTAAGGAGACAGCCGGATGATAATGGTGTACGAGGGGAATCTAAGAACGACGTGAGGACTTGTAAGATCAATATACAGGAGAGATTACCAATTCGAACAAGGGAGAGGCTGAGGGGTGTGCAAACTGCGGGTCTCGTTTTCGTGGATCATATCGTTCTTCAGAAGTGGAATGGGATCCCCTGGAAAAGTCTCGCAAGCCTGAAACTGTACTGAACAACTGGGAACAAAGTCAGGTGGGCCATCAAATAGGTTAGCAAGGGCGCCTTACTTCTCCTAGGAGGTATAATCCTCCTACAATGAACTCGGTCCCGCCAGCACTGCCACTGGCAAGAACTTGTACGAACCGGCGAACAAAGCTCTTCACACGTTCTAAGTTGTCATCGGCCTTGAGAGATTTAAAGAGTAGGTTCAAGTACATGGTCTGTTTTGAGGATGAGGCAAGGCGACCATCGTGTAAAGACTGGTACAATGTTCGATAATATCGATCCACAATGCTCTTCGAGAGTGCAGAAGATGAAGACTCGGGTAAGTGGGAGAGTGAAGATGATATCTGCTGAATAAGGAGTAGGGCTTGCAAAGAGGTGTTGAATGTTGAGGTATGTGTGATGAGGAACAGGGTGTCTATATGTTTGTTCAAGCTTGTCGGAGAGAACATCAGGTGAGCATATACCACGCTTGAGAAACTTACCTGGCATCCGATGGTCCTAACTTTGCATAGGGCAACGCGCGATTCACACCTGTCAATATGGCAGAAATCGATTTTGAAAACGCATCTTCAACTTCCACAAAACCACCATCACCGACGACCTCTTTCGTTGTCTTCCGCTTCTTTTTCTTCCCTATGATTTCTCCGTCTTGTTCTTCAATGTTTTCCTTCTTGCCAGACGATCGACTCTCCCCCAATAAATCCTTGAACATCTGGAAATACACATCGATGACTTGTACAGCAACATCTTTGTCCCCCGGAACAAACACAATCTGGTTGAGTGTTATCGTTGCGTAATAGCGCGCATGGTCATTGCTCGTTCTCTTTGTGGCTCCGTCAGGCTTCGTTTTTGGTTTTGGTTTTGGTTTTGGTTTTGGCTTGGAAGTCGAGACGGTCGTCTCGTCGGTGAAGCGGATATGCGTATTGGTACTTGGCGCAGTGGCAGGTGTCGCGATGCTTGGTCGAAGGATGAGGGAGGTCATCTCGCGTACGACAACACCTTTCATAGATGGGTGAGCTTGTAGAAGTTGAAGGAGGTGATAGGATGCGCGAGAACATATGGATTTTTCAGAATCACCCTAGGTATCATGATTAGTGGATTGCTTCACAGCTTGGATTGTTTCCACTCACCAGCTTGTTTACCAGTAGCCTAAGTAGATTATGCTCCTGCTCAGGTTTGTCGCGAAGGAGCATGTAAGTTAAGGAGAGTGCTTGGGTGCGCACATATGCCAAGGGATCCATTGAAAGGACCTGGAAAATGTGAGCTCCTGCACTCGAACACGATTAGAATCCCACCTCTAGGGTTTGGAGGATAGAGAAAAAATACTTCTTCAGCCAATCCTCGAAGTACCAAATGAGAACATGATCATCCTTGACGCCCTGGTGTGATAGAGGCTGATCACGGAAATACCTAAGCAACCATCAAAATTTTATCCGCGAAAGCAGCATGTCCATACGCACTTTAACTTCCGGTTGGGCGCGCCACCTCCAACCCACCAATCGAGTATACAGCGCAAGGCCTTAAGACTCTCTTCCCGACCTCCTTTTCCTTTTCCTCGTTCGGCCATACCCTTCAGAGTTTCCAACGCTTTGGTGTTGTGTAATGGGCTACTTTGCACGAGGAGCGTAAGAGCACTGAGCCTGTCTGACAACGTGCCTGAGTGCAAAATTTTCTGCAAGAATGCATAATCTGAGCTGGAGGATGTAACTGTTGAGGATGACCCAGATTGGTATGTCTCTACTGCCTTCGCATGAAGAGATGCGCCGCGCTCCATCAGGGAGGACAGTTTGGCAGATGTGACGGGTGGGAGAGCGGTAGATGACCCAGATAGCTTGTGTGCATTTTGATACCATAGAGGAGACGCCTCGATTTGAGGTTTTTTCGCGACTTTGGAGACATCAGCGCGAGCTGATGTTGGCATTGTTTTATCTTCGAAAGTTTGTGCAAGTGACTGCGAAACACTATGGACAGTTGCTTATACTGAAAGGGTAATAGCTTAGATAATCATCCAGTGTTTGGCACGAACAATTCATCCCGGGCCAAGGGTATATCTTTGGTGGATGCGCACGAGCACGAGCACGGGCAGCAAAATAATGCTTGCTTGTAACCATACACAAGCACTATTTCACTGCCCGTGCGCTTCTTATCGCTTAATGGTTGCGACTAGAAAAAAGCAGCATGTGATGATCTGTGGAAGCGACCGTGGAGGAGAGAGTCAGCTTGAGGCGGAAGGGACCTATGAATGAAGAAACTGAACGGGAGCAACCCATCTCTTATAACTTTTCGATGCTGGGCGATATCCTAGATTCAGCATGTCATCACAGGACGATATGATCGACGCGGTCGGAACACAACCTCGACATCTACAACTTCAAGCTTCAACATCAAACGCTGAGCTCTAATACTCGAACGTATTGGGGACCGAGAACGACTTGAGTGTGTAGCCTCACTCTGGCTCCGGCGAGTCCATATCTCCTTCTTCGTAACAAACACCAATCTGAAAAAGCGACGTTACACATAGTACTAGGGTCTGTATGTCTCAACTCTGTCCCACAATTGCAACAGTCAGAATCCAGGCTTCACGGATCAGCCTCGCGTTCCTAAATTCGCTGTTATTGTAGGTTCAGCACTTCTGAAGTCACTCGTATGAATGGATTGACTAGGACTCGTCATCTGATTGTGTCGTCATAGTCCCTGCGTCAGTACGATCAGGCCTGGGTGCTATGCATGAAGTGACGTTTATTTCATGGCACACAATGTCCGCATCTTGGTGCCCCGGGTCAGATTTTCTGGATTGCGCATTTGCAAATCCGTGCCCAGACATCGTGGAGACTCCTCATTTCGTATCCAGAGACCGAGAGCGACATACACGCCTAGGAGAACGACGGGGGGTTCAACGTTCAGGCACGGTCTCTCCCTATCCTTCCTACTTTGCAGCCGATATCGATACAACAGTGTATGCCTTGCATATTATTATATGTCTATATGTCTTGGCTATCTACGACATGGCCGTCGTTCCTATTTAACAGCTGTTGACTCTATGGAAAGGCTGCAGAATCAGCCCCTGTTCTGAATTAACAATATCCACATTCAGCGCTTCTTACCCAGACTCCGAGGGGTTCCATGCACTATCCTATGAGTCAACTGTCCATCATCTGACTATGTAGTCATCATCACTAGATCGCATGCAAGCCTGGTCGCTCATGAAGTAGCCTTTATTTGACAGCGGTTGTCTGAATGAATAATCCACTTTCGCTCTACCGCCGAGGCGAGATTCGCTATTATTGTATGTTCAGCACTTCTGACCCAGAGGTATGTCACGCACTACCCTGTGAGCGAAGGGACTGACTATCATCTGACTATGTAGTCAAGGCTGTTGGATTACGGGCCTGGGTGCGCAAATTACCTCTAAGCGCCCACGGTGACCCCATCTTCTGTTCCAGATGACGGTCATATCCGTGCCCAGACACCGTGATGGCTTCATGCTATTTTATTTTCTTCCCAGCAAGGAACCATTGGTGTCCGCACTATCCTCCGGATAGGGGTTTCCTAGAGATTTAAAAGCAAGACTCGTTTGCTACTTGGCTTTCATCGCTTCAACGACCTTCTACCAAAGTGAGTCACAGTTAGCAGCACGTCCATGGCTTCTCATGTTCATTCTCGCACGTTGCAGCAACCATGTCCACATTAGCAGCTGTCTCGCAGTCCGCGAATATGTCCGACCTTCTGCCCACCCACTTCGTCGGGACCACCATGAACGCAGTGCAAAACGATGAGGGGAAATTCCGCGTCTACTTCCAAAACAAAGACTACCAGATCTACGAAATGTCGTTGAACGACCCGAAGAGCACGGCCTACACCCTGCTCAAACTCACGAACAGCAACATTCCCGCTGCTCGTATCAACACGCCCATCGCAGCCGTGGCGAGTAACGACTTAGAAGAGGTATGTGTTTTGAGGCCAACCGTTCCGTGCCTTGTGGTCTCATTCTCATCTTACTATTACAGATCCGCGTTTTTTACATCACCGTGGACAGCCGTGTGCAGGAGATTTGTCACTCCAAGCGCCATGGTTGGCAGAAAGGCGCGACCATCGGCACCGCTGTTGAGAACAGCACCTGCTTGTATGCGCAAGGCCGGTTCGTTCACAATGAGACCCTGCTCAGGGTTGGGTTCCAGTCTGCAACCGCTCCACAGACCATCACAGAAGGTTGCGCTACAAAAGACGAATGGAAGATCCGTGTACTCTAAATTGGATGGCGTACTTCTGCTTCCATGCCCAGAAAGTGATTGTGTTACGGGATTATAGTATCGGTATCAAATGTATATGTACTATATAAGGCAGTATGACGTGTGTGGCTTGAATTGACAGTTTCAAACTCGTGACTGAGATCTTTGCGGCCCTCTAAGCTTTTGTGTAATAGGGCTTTATAATTGTTCGACGGGGATTGAAATATTGATGGATCATGGGATAGGAATGAGTAAGTGGGGGTTGTTCACTAAAGATATATATGTACAGTAAGGACATGCTTTTATATCTAAGTGAGTGGCAGTACTATCGGTGCAACGGGAACTCGGTATACTTCGAACCGGTACAAAGGGAATTCTATAGCCGGATGCACGTTGACTCTCACCCAGAAACACCTTAGACTGTTTAGTACTGGCCCAGTTCTGGGATGTCGCAGGACTCCATCACATGAGCGACACAGGCATATGAACTCGTAGGACCGTGGGACGAATAGTATCGAAAAGTTCGAATGGCGGCAGTCTGTCTGGCATGTCTTTGTCGCACGTATGCTTGACATGTCGCGAAGCTCAAAAGTTTGCACTATAAAATACTTCACGTACTTTGAACAAGTAACATACTAAGCATAATGGTCATGGTACAATCCACTCCTCGAGTCTGGCTGAGTAAGTTGGGATGCAACTCCTCGCCGTGCGGTTCATTGAATGCCTACAGTTACTGGTTCTTCCACTGGGTTCGGCAGGGCGATGGTGGAAGAAGTCCTGCTTAATGGCGAGATTGCTGTCGCGACTCTGCGCAAGCCCTCCGTCCTCGATGATCTCGTCGCCAGATACCCGCGCACCCAGCTCTTAGTACTTCCACTGGATGTGACAAATGAGGTGCAGGTCAAATCTGCCTTTGTGCAGGCCAAGGACACCTTTGGACGAGTCGATGTAGTGTATAACAACGCGGGGCAGTTGTTGATTCAGGAGCTGGAGGGGGTACCAATGGACCGTGCCAGGGCGCTGATGGATGTCAATTTCTGGGGTGCAGTAACGGTGAGCTTCGAGGCGGTCAGATTCTTTAGAGAGGTGAATCCGAAGGGTGCTGGAGGAATGCTCGTCCAAGTATCAAGCATGGCAGCAACCACCGCCCACCCGATGGTCGGGTTCTATAACTGCACGTGAGTGGGTCGACGCTGTCTGATTAAATGTCGCTGAGGCATTTGGTGTTCGTAGGAAAGCGGGTAATGTTGCTTGTGGCAGACTGTGTGACTTTATCTCACCACCGCTGTGTAGCCTTGGATTCGTTCACCGAAGTTCTGGCACAGGAGCTCCTTCCCGCTTGGAACATTCGGGTGAGTAACTACAGACAACAGTTTCCGAGGGCTGAGCACTGAGTGGTCATACAGTTCGTGAATGTCCACCCAGGCACAACGCGTACGCCCATATTGTCAAGTGAGATACTAGAGCCTCCAGCATTGTATGCATCGGAACCAACAGCTTTGACGACTAAGATACGAGCTGAATGGGATCCGCTCAACCCAAGCGATGCGATCAGTGTTGAAGCTGTGACGAAGCGCATTTGGTCGGTGACACGGATGGGCAACGAGGACCTGCGGAAAGGTATACAAGATGGCATTCCAGGCCTCGTAAACATGCATACAGGGATGGACTCTCTGGAGAGTGTGCATGCAAAAATCGGGCGACTGCAGGGTGAGCTGATGTGGAATATGAAGGTTCATTATGAGTACTAGTCTGTTCACAATGAAGGCCTCAGGGAGGCTGCACATGACCCAAACGTCATGCGTCACGGAGTCGGACTGCGTTTGAAGTCATTGAGTCACTACTTTTAACTTCCCACATCAGAACTGATATCTAGAAAAATAGCCACATCAACTACATACATAGGCGTCCGAGTTTTTCTTCATTGCCCTGTGTGATTGTCTATGACCTTGTTTGGCTTGACGCTCTTTCGAGTCGCTGGCCATTCGACAATCCTCTCGCCGTTGGCCTGCGCACCCTCTGCCCTTCCGACAACACTATATCATTCAAGCCAGCTATGTGTCGGAACGTCATCGTCAACAGCCATAGGGCTTTAGCTGGTGATGGTTTGCTGTTCTGGATGCCTCCGAATATAGCAACTATGAACCGTACCTTCTGCATGCAGGCCTGAGTGTGCACAAACTGACACTTATTTGATGGCGCACAATGACCGCATCTTGGGCAATGTATTTTCTGGATCATGGTCAGATCCGTGTCCAGACACCGCGGAGACCACTCATTTCATTTATCCTTGAAGTGGGTTTGGTGCGACTCAAGTACCTTCGCGAGGGGCGCACATTTTCTAGCCCAGAGGTATGTCACGCGCTACCTTGTGAGCAATGCGACTGACTATCATCTGACGTATGTAGTTGGATTACATGTGGGCCCGGGTGCGCATAGTACTTCTGAGGGCCTACGGTGACCTCATCTTCTGTTCCAGATTCTGTAGATGACGGTCAGATTCGTGCCCAGACATCGTGATGGCTCCATGCTATTTCATTTTCTTCTCAGAAAGGAATCATCCATATCCGCACTATTCTTCAGATAGGAGTTTCCTAGAGGTTAAAAGTAAGACTCGTTGGCAACTTGACTTTCATCGCTTCAACGACCTTCTACCAAAGTGAGTCACAGTTAGCAGCACGTCCATAGCTTCTCATGTTCATTCTCGCACGTTGCAGCAACCATGTCCACATCAGCAGCTGTCTCGCAGTCCGCGAATATGTCCGACCTTCTGCCCACCCACTTCGTCGGGACCACCATGAACGCAGTGCAAAACGATGAGGGGAAATTCCGCGTCTACTTCCAAAACAAAGACTACCAGATCTACGAAATGTCGTTGAACGACCCGAAGAGCACGGTCTACACCCTTCTCAAACTCACGAACAGCAACATACCTGCTGCTCGTATCAACACGCCCATCGCAGCTGTGGCGAGTAACGACTTAGAAGAGGTATGTGTTTTGAGGCCAGCCGTGCCGTGCCTTGTCATCTCATTCTCATTTCACTATTACAGATCCACGTTTTTTACATCACTGTGAACAGCCTTGTGCAGGAGATTTGTCACTCCAAGCCTCATGGTTGGCAAAAAGGCGCGACCATTGGCATCGCTGTTGAGAACAGCACCTGTTTGTATGCGCAAGACCGATCTAGCCACGATACCAGTGCCAGTCACCATGAGGCCATGCTCAGAGTCGGATTTCAGTCTGTGGTTGCTCCCCAGACTATCACAGAAGCTTATCGTCTGAAAGACGAGTGGAAGACGCGTGTACTCTAAACTTGGAGAGAATGTCAGTGTACGTTACTCAGATGCCAAGAACGTGAAGAAGTTACGGGGTCAAAAATGTTGTATGTACTGTATGCAGTAAACTTCTCATGCTGTCTCGAAGATGAACATTTTAACCCGCCGTCGGTTGTGCCACTAAGCCCCCTAACGGAGGTGAGCAATGTCCCAACATCAACGGGCTAGTGATGGCACAAAAATCATTATCGGACGAGTCTATCACGAAGAAAGACGAGTCGTTATGAGTTCTGCATCTCTTTCACGGCACTACACCCTTTCATGCGTCCAGAATTAATTTGGATCAGCAAAGCTGCGGTGTTGATTAGCAAGTAACGGTGTACACATATGATTCTCGTACTGTAGGTTTTGGTGGGCCTGGCTCAAGCCTAGCTTAGGGGCACTTTTAGCGGATAGTGTGCTACTACGTTAGTCCGGCTAGCCAACTTCACACTCACTTAAGTTACAGTGCTCACTTCACATCATTCATCGTAATTCTAAATTTTGTCAGCAAAAATTACTATGTAAGTTGACACATCACAAGTCAGCTAGGATTACACCACACGTTTCCCCACCGATCTTGCGCTGTGCCTGTACTCCCACTGCCGAACACACCCTGTTTCCCGTCGATAAATCCGACACCGTAGCTCGACGCTGCATTGAACCGTGCAGTTGGGCACTTCATCCCCAAAAAAATCGGACATGCGCGATCAGCAGCGCTGCAAACTTCCAGACAAGGCAAGACCGTTTGGTATGAGTACGAAACGTTGGGCAGGAAAGAGTTGCGTTCGTTAGAGCCGCTCTGAGGCAGAGTCAATGCCGGCATTGGGGACGATGGCGAGGAAGAACTCGATGGGGGCTCGGCGCATCGCGGGAAGGACACGGAACATAACCAAGTACGATATGCTTCCTGGCAGCTTTCACAGGTCTGCAAAGGAGAGTATAAGTCGCGCCCGCATGCAAATGTGAGAAGCATGGTCGTGAAGTTGGTCATATACTGAAGAAGGGGGTCTGATACGCTCTGTGGGAGATTTGAAGAGTCGTATGATGATGCAGGGGATTGAGGGAAGAGAAGAGGAACAGCGTATGACGTAGATGGACAAAATGGAAGGGAGTGCACGAGGGGGCAGGGGAATGATGCTGATACGGAGACATAAGCGAACGTATGCTACACCAAGGAGGAAAGGAAACGTACGAGATTTGGTAGTGAAATATATGGGTCCGCTCAGTTTTACCTGGTCCTGGATAACATATGCAGTGTAGTTTGTGCTCGGTGTCAAGCCATCAATAAGCCACTGAGACCTCCACCCATCGTTGTTGCGCAGCCAGAGATCGTTGCTCACTACCAAGCCTGAGGAGGATGTAGAGTTAATGCCACATGCTGTCTGCATGCCAGATGCAAGACCAGAGGAAGTGGGCGCAATGACGAGAGAGAATGCGGGAGGTGATGATGGCGGTGAAGGGATTGAAAGGTTGGCAGGAGGAAGTGTATAGTTGGGATACGTTGGTGGCGAGGATTCTGTGGGTGAGAATGGATGCGAATATATCAGAGCCTGCGTATTGGTAGTATCTCCGAGGAAGGGGAGTGCAGGAATTAGTCCATGCACGAGAGCTACTGGCAGTATAAACTATTGAATTCAGTGTTTATTCGATGTACATACCTCCTGTCGATGTAACAACTTGGAATGAGGTCTGACCGACATTTTGTACGACTAATGATCCACCTTGCTGTGTGGTGCCAGTCCAATTCCCGAATCCGCTATACAATTGGATTTCAAAAATATCGGTGGTAGACGCTGTGTCGTTATTCACGAGAAATGTTGGAGATGTCGTTCCAGTTGAGCAAATGGCGATGGATACCGTCAGCTGCTGAGCCTGTGGAAGAGAAAATGTGGGATCACTAGACAGAGAAGCTCCGGAAAAAGAATACAAAGTATCGAGAGTAAGTGACTCTTGTGCACTGACTTGAGCGAGTGTTGCATGTATAAGATACCAAAGAAACCGCGAAAGTGTATGCATCGATGAAGCCCGTCGATGTCGCGATCAGCTGCTACCAGTGAGAGCTGTGGGACTTGGCAACGGATGTCGTTGTCGGGTATGTTGAAGTGGCTGCTTGGCCCTGGTGGCTGCACATGATGGCTATTACTAGAACTGTTTTGGTCATGCTCAAACTTAAGCTTCAGTCAATTATTATAGTTCATTCATGCATTGACCTGCCAGACCTCTTCGACTCAGTCTGGTGTCTTTCGATATACAAAATTGAGCAGCGGGTTGGCCGCGGGACTTGTAGGAACGGTATGTTTCGTTTTTTCCTCTTTTTTTTTTGAGTCAGCCATCTGTGGAGTGACGAGTCACATTTACTTCGATCGTAGAGAGGTTCACTGAGAACCGAGTGCGACGTTGCACACACAGTATGTTAATCTCATTTTTGATGAATCTGTGCTGAATGTCTTGTTAAGAGTTTTAGGTCACGACAGCGCTCACCACCATGATGTAAAATTTCCCAAAGATACCGCGACCCTACCTTGCCGATTTTGGTCTCGCCATTCTAGTATCTGTGATCCCAAGACTAGGGTCTGCACAAACATAAAACACACCATCAATGAGGGAACGACGTCCCTCGTGAATGTAAATACACATCAACGTTTAGCGATTCATGCCGTTCTCTTGGTCCATTCCCTCATGTTCTGCTGTTCAAGATTCACAGTGCAGTCATCGCGATAACTTCGTGTTGTTGGCCTAGACTCTAATATAGTATCTCGCGCTTCAAGACCGTCCTATCCTTTTTGGTACGACGAGGAACTCCATTACTCGATGCTGGGCCCCGGCGAATATCTTACACGACGACGATGCTCCATTTGCTGTCGTCGCTGTATACTTCAACGTCTCGTCTCATAATACCCTGGAAGTATGATCTTTTTGGTTAACACTTACCTACGATTATCTGATAATCAGTGCCTTTCTTTCAGAGGTGCGATATAGTATCGCATCTATTTATTCTTTTACACTGATCAATACGTTGATAGTAACAGTTGTCATCATCGCTAGCTCGATTGGAACAGCATCCTCTTGCTAATCTCAATGAATCCTGGAATCTCGTAACATTCTTAATCTCGAAGACCATTCGGACTACATTTGGGTTCCTCTGAAGCGGCAGCAGCTGTCTTTTTCAACTTCGCTTCTCATAACGTAGCTTGCGTTCTGATGATTTCACGTGGTATTTCTATTGTTTCTGGCCCAGGTGCGAGTGTTGACAAAAACACAGGTTCAGCTTTTTACCATACGGAAGATCTCTAATCTGATGGCCTAGGAACGATCCTTCCCAGTACTTAAAGTGTAACTCAGTTGCCCTGGTATAAAACGCGGCAGACTGACATATGTCTATCAATATGCAAGCTCAAACCAATACGTTGATCTTCACAATCCAGAATCTTGCAGATGAGCCCTTCTTGCGTCCCATCGTGATAATCTGCGATGAAGGCCGGCGTTCCTACCGTATCCACCTTTCTCGAATCCGTTCGCAAGACCAAGGTCGTAATAACAACTTGTCACATGTTGGTTTTCATTGAAAATTCATACATCATGGAAAGTTGCCTATTTGCCGCAACTCTCGTGTGGATACTTAACAAACACTCGCCCAAAAAGGCGTTTTTGCTAAGCTCGCATTCAGTTTGTTGAATCTTGATGCATTCTAGTATCCCCCCATCACTCTTCAAAGACCGTCAAAGGGTAATGTACGTGCAGTTACGATCGAACTTGAGGGGTTCTCAGACACCATACAGGGCGTTGCCCAACGTTATGCGAATAGGGATTCTACAAAAGGTAGCCAACAACCATATACACCCCAAGAGACAATTTCTTCCTCATAATTTTGCCCTTGGTAACGGAATTGCATCCATGATAACATCTGGACACTCGTATTGAATCCAGTGACCGATACCGGTAAGAGCTCTAGCATTCAATCTTTCCACGTCACGAGGAATGTGTTCGGTCTTACAAATACCAACGCCGAACTTTGGATCTGACACAAGCACGGCGATCTCCACATGAGGGGGGATGTTTTTGAGCAGGCCCTTAAAAGACCAAGGACTGTTTTGCTATTCGAGGCCCAGTCAGCAATGCTCCCCATTTCGACAGCTGTGAAATTACCCGAAAAACCTCGACCGCCGTACGATCGCACATGGATAATCCCAGCGTTCTTAACACGCAGTCACGGCGTGACCAAGCAGGATTCTTAGCCATATGCACGTCGACGGGCTTGATATTCGCTGTTTCCTTTAGAAATAGATTTAAGTTCATCTTGTTCTGTTCCTCTGTAAACTCAAGGCCAGGATCGAGGAGTATAACGGTGGTTTCTTTCTTTTTGGGCAAGAATGGCAAGAGAGATACTGCCACTGTACCCCCGAAAGAATGACCGATGATTACGTCGTAGGATGTGTCCATGACGAAATATGGTCGGAGGTCCTCTGCAAAGGCGGATATACGGTAGTCGGTATTACCCTGTCTCCCTGCATGCGCAAGAAGATTCGGGGCCACAATAAAGAAACCTGATCAATCTATTAACAGGGAACTTGAAGAACGTCACTATAGTATACCTTCTGCCACCAATAGTTGAGCGAGACCCTCCCAGGAATTCGATGACATAGTAATGCCATGAATGAGCAGAGCTCGTCTGGTAGCGGTGGGGGAACCCCACTGGGTCGCTGAAATGGTCATCTGTGCAGGCTGATATCAAGCTTTTGAGAGCGGAGAAGGATGTTGGAATGAGGTTCGGAACTCAGTCCCCATTTTTAAAGGTTGAGGGAGTACCTATACCGGCAAATAGAATAGTTTTGGTGTAAGGTTTTTGACATGCCCGTGGCATATTGAAACCTAAATTACAGAATCAAATCATACGTTTATCGAACGTTGGATAGTGGACTTCCGAAGACGTCGCTCGCTGAGAAGCGGGCCTGCGCCAGCTGTATCTGTAAAGGTGGGCTCAGGCGGCGAGATGACTACACGCGGTGAGAAAACAGGTTAGGGATATGACGTGGCAACCTAAATGCGAAAAAGTCAAACGGAGGGGAGTGTAGAAAACTGCTATCAGTGACTTCGGATAAAACTTGACATAAAACTAATACTCTATCGAATTGCTGTGAAGCAGTCCGGCGGTGCGACCGCACGGTCAAGCTGCTTTGATTATATCATTACTTCCCAATAATTTTTTGATCATCTAGTATCACAAAGACGGCGGTAAGAAGGATACCCCTCCAGAACAAAGACTGACATGACTTACAGGTAGGTCGACCTCAGCATTAGCAGTGGTCTGATACCTGGTACTACTGCCTAGTGGCTTATTTGTTTCTCATGGAGTTGGATACACGTTGAGAGGCTAGTGACGTAAGCCTTGCTCTCCCGGAACGACCTATGTAGTATCTCACGGTGGCAGCGATTACCCCGCGCAATTCGCGCTGAAACAGAGCTCATTTCATCATTGGTCAACCTAGGGTGCACCCTCGGATGTGACTGACAATCGATAAGTACTAGTAAAGAAGGAAGTTCATTTCAGTTTTGAAGAAGCTGGGTGCTGGCACCGCAACTGGGGTGTCCGTGTGACACTTACCGACATTTGATTTTATTAGCACCCATGTGAGTCATTGAGCTCATCAAGCTCGGGTCACATAATTAGATCTCCAAAATTTCACGTTACTATAGTGCCCTGTTAATAACATTCCGAAGTAGATTGTCGGCTCCCTGAACAGGTGGGTACGTATGGACGGACCTTGACTATCATAGTGGCTAATTATGGAGGGCATTTCGCTTCCCCATACACCGATTTGGCTTCTGAATCCCGTCCTGTAGCGTAGCCTTTCCTTGACAGTACTTTGTTCTTCACATATCAATCATTCAATTTCTGTGTCTTTGGTTTGCTGAGTGAGATCACTGAGATGAGGACGCAATACACACATTATGATTACCAATAACTGGAACGTGGTGAACGACGCGAGGTGGAACCGCAAGGTAGGAGAAAAAGAAAAATCCAGGATGCAGTGAAGAACATAAATGCGCCAGGTAGCGATGACTGCCTACAAAACGAAGCCCGAGTTCAAGCCCAAGCCCAAGCAACCAGTTGAGCGTCCTTGGCAGGACCTGCCGCAGGCACCCAGATCTCCTACTAGTAGGAAAGGGTTTGTTACTACTAGGCACGCTAGAATGGTAGGTGACAGCTTCGAACAGTTCCGTGGCTCCCGCTCAGACCCTTACCGCACCGTTCTTCTCCGAGTCGTTCTGTTTAGTGGGAGTAAATGGATTGTGCATCACTGTAACCAAGTCTATACCTGGTCAGCTGCATTCAGTATTCATGACCCGCCTGCAGGGTAGTTCACAGGTTGTCGGGGACACCGAGAAGCTTCATCTCCAGGTTCGGTCAGCCTTTAATAAAATGGCCGAGTCATGAGCCAAACTCCATGATGTGCACGGCCGTTTCCGAACGACACTGGGAATCTTGCCACAGGGATTTGGCCGGTCTGTGGGAGGTCCATACAAACTGGATGCCTGCCAGTGGGTTACCGTGACTCGGATTCAGAAAGCGCCACGAAGTCGAGGCCGCCGCATGTCACTATCCTCCATCCTGCCTGGCTGCAGCCTGCAGCCATCAGGATCCCTACCCCCATCTCTTCTTATCTCTATGAGTCTCTCACGGTCTACTGCTTCTTCCTATGTATTTCCTACCAGCCTGCCAACGCCATGGTGTTATCTACAGTTCCCAGTCTACCACAGCTGTCATATCCTCCCTCCAGGTGACTAGAACCGTAACGACAAGCTGACACGGATGACGAGAATGACATGATGGTATTTGACATGCATCTGCATCATCGGCGGGATGCGTGATGGTGGTTGCGATGATAAACCAAACGTTCATACAGACCTTTGACTGCGCGGAACTTTCCGATTACAGATATGACCCCCCTATACGTTGCCCAGACGTGCCCTGGGCCAGACTTTGGCGTGGAGTGTGCACAGACTTCATACATTTCTGCATCTCTTCGAAATGCATGTCCATGCAGAGACGAAACTGGGTTGTACCATCACAGCCTAAAGTGAATGGTGAGCAGTTGTTGGGTATCGGTCACCATCTGTAGTTTGTTCCTGACACGATATAGGGGTTTTCTGATGTGAAGCACTGGTTAATAAATTAGAGCAGTTCTCCATAAAGGTATGACAGCCGCACTTGGCATGCTAGCCCTGTTAAACCTCGGACTGCGTCGTGACTCACCATTGCTCAAGCGCTCAAGCTTCAACCTTTACGCTAGAGACTAATATAACCATACAAGATGGTCGATTTCTGTGGTTTATCAGTAACTGACCTGAGACGCAGCATAAACTTTGACTCAGGATCCGAGATAGTCGCGGCAGGCTAATCCATACTAAGAACGATAGTCACGGTAGCACCGATTGGATATAGGCGAGTACGAGGGCTGTACTACTGGATGAGCGATCCTTCTCGAACCTATTAAATCACCGAACCGTGCTTGCGATCACGGTGAACTCTGAAATGGCAAAGCCGAACTTCGATTGGGATTACTCACTGCTATCTTGCTAGGATGGGGAGCACATCTGGTCATGGCGCCATTGACGTCATAGTTTGCAACGGGATTATACTGTCATCTCCGAGGGCAATCCGAGGGAGGGTGTAACCTTTGATGTACTTTCCTGATTATTGTATATGTATATCGGTCCATATTTAACTTCATCAACATGTGCTCCTTCATTTTGTCTTGCATCCATCCACACGCAAAAAGTCATGCTTCTAGCTAGGCCAACGTGCTTGCAAATTCATCGACAAGCCCGAATATATCCAAGCAGTCAGCAGATGCTCTAGGCTATGTCGAGGGCGCTGTTCCCAATTGGCGGCGATGTCACACGAATGGTAAACATGCTTTGGAACCGATCTATTTTTGGGATATTCCATTATAACATGTCACACTACGGATATTATGCAGTAGGTATTTTTGAAATTCCATTTTGTAAATTCTAGAAACGGCCAAGTGCCTAGTTTTTATGCAATGGTGGTGATCCATGTGAGAAATTTTTGCTATCAGGGAAGTATGCTGTAACAGCGGGCATCTTATTAGTCTCTCCTCGGGCCTTATTCAAGTTAAGTTGTGACTGGAATTTCGTCATATAATGTTGATGACTAATATCGGCCAGAAGTTATAAGCCCTGCGTTTCGGCCACTTACCGCATCCTTTTTGACCTCAGCTTCACTGAATGGTACCGACCCCGCTTAATTCTTCCTCTCGTTCCCCCCGTCTTCTAGTTACTTCATTCTCGCTTCTATCGCAATATGTGCCCAGCTTCACTCGCAAACTCCTTGGTTACACCTCAGATGGCGACAGTCCTTCTCCCCTCCACGCGTACGCAAAGCGTGCCGCTGCAAGCACTCGCGGTCCCGAGTTCATCGTCTTCGCCTGTCTCATTCCTGTCCTCGTCCTCTTATCAGGTGTATTTGCCGGTCTAACATTGGGTTACATGAGCTTGGACGAGACCCAGCTTAATGTCTTGAGCATGAGTGGCAGCCCGTTCGTTAGGTTTATTTGTCTTCATGTTGTTATCCTCATCGTGTCTTTTACAGTCAACAAAAGCGTTATGCTGAGAAGATCATGCCTATCAGGAAAAATGGCCATTTACTCTTGGTCACATTACTTCTCGCTAATATGATCGTCAACGAGACTTTACCTGTCATCTCCGACCCCATTCTCGGTGGTGGAGTGCAGAGTGTAGTCGTCAGTACCGTCCTAATTGTCATGTGAGTACATTCTCGTCGGCCAGTTCTTCAAATCTTTTGGCGCGTCGCCTTGCTTTTGATCCGTCATCCTTGACGCGCCCTTTTCTGATCCGCAAAATGAATCTGTCAGGGGGGACATCTCACTTATTGATGCGTCTTTAAACTTCCCCACATTCTTACGATTCTATTTAAATCTTACTCATCCAAAATTGCTTCTAGCTTCTCCGAAATCATTCCGCAATCATTATGCACCCGACATGGTCTTTACTTCGGCGCTCAAATGGCAGGCTTCACTCGAGTCCTAATCTGTCTTCTTGTACGTCATTACATGCCCCCATTGAGGATATGAACCAATTTATAACAGGGCGTCTTGGCATGGCCTATTGCGAAACTTTTGGAGTTAGTACTTGGTCCCCATCACGGAATTATGTACCGCAGAGGAGGTAGAAGCCCATGTTTCATATCCATAATTATACTGACCATTTTCTTCTCTGCTCAGAACTCAAAGAGCTCATCGCACTACATTCGTCAATGTCTTCCCTCGGTGGTGATCTCAAGAGTGACACAGTCACCATTATCGGCGCCACTCTTGACCTACAAGAGAAGGTCGTGAAGCAGGTTAGTTGCGGGACTGGTCTACGTTTTCGGAGATATCGACTTATGTGTCTACACTGGCTATAGGCGATGACCCCCATCGAGAACGTTTTCATGTTATCGATTGACTCGAAACTCGACTACGCGCTTATGAAGAAAATCTGCCTTACCGGACACAGCCGTGTTCCTGTGTATGAAGAGGTCGAAATTCCTGCTGATTCATCAGATCGCATGTTGAAGGTCAAGAAGATAATCGGTATCCTGCTCGTTAAACACGTGAGTCTCTCGTTGTGTACGTCTTATCTTTTCTGATCCAATCTTCTAGTGTCTTCTTCTTGATCCAAAAGATGCA